AAATGGGCCTCCTAATTCCAGTTCTACCGCAAATATTTACACATGTCCACCGTATCTCAGGTATTACTTATAGGTGTTGGTGAGAAATGAAAAATATGACTCTAGAGGAGGACAGAGATATGAAAACCATCTAAATTAAGGATATGACTAGTGTGATAAATACAAATGGGAGGAGCTGTGGGGTTCCAAATGAAATTAATGAATTTTATCGCAGGAGTTGGAGAAGCTTGACAAAGGAGGTTTTATTCATCTGATCCTCTACGGATAAGAAGGACTTTCTTGGAGGCCATCTTGAAATGTGGAAAGAAAGAGGTTAGACTTTGTGGAAGAGGAACCCAGGATGTACAGGAGGAGGGTAGTGGAGAAACAGCAGATGACTCTTAAAATACTGGTGCGTAGGGATAGATGTAGAGTCTTAGAGACCCTGCTTATTTAGAGACGATGAGCCTGCAGTGGCCCCCGGACTGTTTTAAAACATTTGTTGGGGTGCACAGGTGGGAAGAGGGTGGAGCCATTTAAAATATTGCTGAAGATCTGTTACCCTGTGCTCTCTGGGAGATTTCTTGAAAAAGGGCACATGACTTGAGTTTAAAACTCTAAATTGTTGGGGAGACTGAATATCTTCCCAGAGAAGGAGAGGGTGGGCAGATATGGCTAGAGTCTTCAGTAAGAAGAGCGATGCTGGAATTTACACCCAGTGACATGGGTTCAGCTGTGAAGGCAGAAGCAGAGGGAGCTACAACTCACTCGTAGAAACCAGGAGTTACGATCAAACTTTGGATGCTCCCAAGCTTAGCCATTGGTGCTGAGGAGCACTCCTTCCATCCTGGGTGGGATATGCCACCTGAGTCCTGCTAGAGAGATAGTTATTAGATGCAGGAAAACATGATGGAAAGGATGGATGGAAAGGATTTCCCAGGAAAGGAAATTCCCTCTTCCTTCATGGTCCTGAGCATGGAGGTGGTGGGAATGGGTTTGGGAAATTAATATAAACTTTTATGTTATATAAATAGAGATTATGTATGTGTATATATATATATATATATGATAAATCTTATACCTCTTGATTCTAGTTATAAATACTTTAAAGAATTCCTGTGCACCAACGTGGAGCTGGACTTCTTTGTTCTTGTTGGGCAGTAAGGCGGCAAATTGATGATTTCCCACACAGCAGGATCCATAGTCTTCTAATCTGTAGGTTTTCTCTATTTCATTTATTTGGAGATAAAACCAGCTTCCTTACTCCGATGAGTAAAACTGAATCACATAAGCGCGTAGTTTACTATCCCCCAAACATGTAGGTGTGACATTGATTTTTAAACCCATTGATGATTTAATTAGTGCTTCTCTCCCTGTGTTTACAACAGGAGCTTAATACCTGCTTGTTGAATGAGTGAATCTTCCCTTGACCCTCATACCCTTAGTAAGGAAGGCCTAGAATATTAAAAAAAAATTCAAATTTCTCTTTTATATGTTTTATTGAAAAGACATGCATAAATAAGCTTTTTCTATTAGAATTTGAGAGAGGCTTTTATTTGAAAAGAGTGCAGTTGGAACTGAAAGAAAAATTTCCTCTGTGAATTAGACAGGGAGAAAATATTATCCAGAAGTGGCAACTCTTCTCTTTCCTTCCCACCCTGTACGCATGTGCATGTTATCAGGAGGCTGCATGTAGACTTCAGGCCTGCCCTTGTGGCTCAGTGCACTTCACATACCCCTTTCTCTTGGTTGATCTGAAGAAGTCACGTAGGTATTCATCTGATCAATTGATGCAGGATACAAGGACCATTCATGTGAGTCCATTGGTTCCAAGTGTTGAAAATACAAGTTGTATGGAAACTATTTAATACAAATAGGCAAGCTCTATATACCCCAAATATGTAAGGAGAGAAAGGTGAGGCCAAATATCTCCAAATTGCCAGCATAAGTAATTTGTAGTTTGGTTCTTCTGTGTCTTTTGTTTTGTTTTGTCTTGTTAGAGACAGAGTCTCACTCTGTCACCCTGGGTAGATTCCCAGGATGTCATCATAGCTCACAGCAACCTCAACTTCTTGAGCTCAAGCTATCCTCTTGCCTCTCAGCCTCTTGAGTAGCTGGGACTACAGGGGCTCAGCACAATGCCCAGCTAGTTTTTCAATCTTTAGTAGAGACAGGGTCTCACTCTTGCTCCCTCTTGGTCTTGAACTCCTGAGCTCAAGCCATGCACCCACCTTGGCCTCCCGGAATGCTAGGATTCCAAGTGTGAGCCACTGTGCCTAGCAGGTTCTTCTGTGTTTTAAAATAAAACCCAGCTGCTTTTCACAATATGTTGGTTGTTATAGTCAAGGGGAAAAGAATACCTGAAAAGAAAAAGAGCAGTGGTACAATGTGGGAGTGAGGGTGAGGGAAATTAATCTGTTTGTTAAAAGCCTTAATGAATATTTGTGCATCTGATCTTTGAGTGGCTACATTTCCTGTACCCACAAACTTAGCAGTCTTCATATTAAGACTGCTATGATGTGATGGGATTCTGAAAGCCCAACCAGTTGTTATCTACATGCCACTCAAGGATTACAAAGTACTACTGCTACGAGGTGGACGGGGGCTCTGGTTACTGGTAAACACAGTAAGCTCGATGCAATTCCCATTGTTAACCTAACCCCTACCCTAACTCTATATTGTGGTAAGAGTTTAATCATCATTATCAAATACTGATACAGCCTTCACAAATGCCAAAATTCTTCTAGATACTGTCACAAAAAATTATTGAGATCAGGCTCGGCGCCTGCAGCTCAAGTGGCTAAGGCGCCAGCCACATACACCTAAGGTGGCGGGTTTGAACCCACCCTGGCCCGCCAAACAACAATGACGGCTTGCAACCAAAAAATAGCCGGGTGTTGTGGTGGGTGCCTGTGGTCCCAGCTACTTGGGA